CTTCCGCTCCCTCTATTTCTCCCACTCTCTTAGCTTTGGACTGTAGCGAAATCAAAATCTCTCTCTCTCTCTCTCTCTCTCTCTCTCTCTCTCTATATATATATATATATATTGTTCTCCCTCAGTCTCTCTCATTCTTTTGCCTCTCAATCAATATTTCTTTCTCCCTCAGTCTTTCTCCCACTCCTTCTATCATTCTTTTTTATTTTTCTTACAAACTTATACAATACTAATCATATAGTATAAAAAAACTAAAGGGACCAACCACTTGTACAATCAAGTTATAAATTTCTATCAAGTTGGTGTAAATTTCATAGTTAAGAGTTTCTTGTAAATTTTTACCAAATTGGTGTAATTATTTTTGAACCATAACAAGTTGCTCTCATGTTCTTTTATATGGTATTATTAATACCATATAAGTGTGTAAGAAAAAAAAAGAATGAGAGAGGGAGTAGGAGAGAAATTGAGGGAGAACAACAGAATTAAGAGAGAATGAGAGGTTGATCAAGAAAGAGAATGAGAGAGATTGAGGAAAAACAATAGGCAGAGAGAGAATGAGAGAAATTGATAGAGAGAACGTAAATACCGAAACCGAAAACCATTTTTATATATTTTCAAATCACATAGCCGTTGAGTAGAGAGATGACTGTGAGAGTGAGAGAGTGGGAGGGGGAGAAAGAGAGAGGAAGAGAAACTAAAAACCCTTTTTTATTTTCCAATCATCTAGCATTAAGGGGCAATTTTGGTATAAGATTTTTGTTGGGTCCAACATCGATTAAGAGTCCCATGTTGGCAACAACCACGTAAGCCTCCAATGACATAGCAGGGGTTTCTATAATTTGAAATGCAGATCCAGTTGTCAGAGTATTGTCAGTTTCAGGACCAACCTGTAGCCCTAATTTTATATGTATTTTTCCTAATTTAAAACTAATCCGGAAGCAAAGCTATTTTCTTATCTAGATGGTGGGTCAATGATCCAAGTTTTCAAAGAAACCCATAATGTCATAATTTAATAATAAATATTTAAAAAATGATAGAACACCAAAATAAAACTGTACAGATTTTGTAGAAAACATTTGAGAACATTTCTAATATTATATATTCATCATATTAAATAAAAATAATTGTTAAAATAAAAGTTATTTTTATTTATGATAGAAATAGAATACAAAATTTAATAATAATAATAATAATAATTATTATTATTATTATTATTTGTTGCTACAAGCATTTAAGTTTATTTTTAATCATATTATTACTTTTGTTAATTTTTAATTTATATCTTAACTATGATATATCTAAAACTCAAGTAATTAATATGAAGAAAAATTTCTCATGTGCAACGCATGTGCTTAATTACTAATACCTTAAAAAGTATATAATCGTACATCACCCAACAAAAACCCCATTCCCTTTCTCTCTCTCTCTCTCTCTCTCTGTATATATATATATCATGGTTTTCAAAAATGGACTGGACCGAATGGTTGGATCGGAAAAACCGGGAACCGGTCACCTGACCAGTTATGTTTTTCCCCAAAATCGTTGATTTTGGTCAGCAAACTATTGAACCGGCCGATTAATCGTTCAAACGGTTTTGACCATTTTTCATTTTTTTAAATTTTTAAATTTTTTTTGTCAGATCGATTGGATCGTTCGAACTGGTAACCGGACCCCTGACCAGTTCGATTTTAAAAACCATGATATATATATATATATATATATTAAACTGATTAGTTTTCTGTCATTGACTTATTATACTTTGTGTTGCTCAATTTATATCTTTATTCAACACTCACCACTGCCACCTCCTTTTATCTGATCAAGCGACTAATTAATTATATTTCAGCATTATTCTTGACATTTCTTAATATGGAATACAGTTGTCTACAAATCTTCTTTAGTTTATAGATTTCGGTGGTGTTCTTCAGGTAAATTACTTAATTTCTTTGTGGTGATTTAAAGAAGGTTGCATTGTTCCAATCATTACCGTTAGTTAAAAAAAGATATTATTTTCTTGAACAAAATCACGAAGAAATGTTGTTAGTGGTTCTAACTTCTGACATATGCTTTTATTAAGTGCTAAATGAGTGGTTCAACGTCCATTTATATTGATTTCACCATATATATATATATATATATATTCCTGTTTTTGAAATCTTTTATTGTTGATTTCGGAAACAGGGTTAATTTCCTGAATCAAACTAAAAGCATTTTCGTTTTATTAGAGAATAACACAGTATGCTTTTATTTATTTTTTCTCTGCTATATAATTTCCTTTTTAGAAAAATATAGAAGTATTCATGTATTCAATCAATTGTTCATTTTAAGGAACACCCTTTATTTTAAATGGTTGGGCATTCATGTAATGCCAAGGGATGATCCCTAGCTAGTGCAATAAACGAAACCTTTAAAAAGCGGGGTTGAGCCTTAAGAAGAGAAAGCAACACTAGCGCTTGTACTGTTCTTTTACTTTAATTGAAAGCTAAAAGAAAAGACTCATACATTAATAACATATCTAAGTTACGGTCCCTATGCTTGGACTACGACCAGTCTAACTTCCACTTGTCTTAAAAACACCATAAAATCTCTCCCCAGTTTTGATAAAGTGGGAGAATCAATGCTTTATTTATTTATTTTTTGTAGTTTCATGTGATTTTTGTAAATTAATAAGAGATTAAACAAAAAGGAGAGATGGTGGTATTAATTCATGGATATATATAAACGAGAAAATAAATTAAAGATCGAGACGGGGGAGGGAGGTGAGGTGGTGAGATATGGAAAGACTTGTGCCCTGTTGTGGGTCTTCTTTGAAACTTTGAAACTTTGAATGGGGAACTTAGAGGTTAGGACTGGGCAATCCGAAGAAAGAAGGAAGAAAAGCATAAAGAAAGAAACATCTAACTGATCATTTTGCACAAGAAATCATGCAAGTGTTGTTGTTTTTTATTGCATGGTTACAAGAGCTTAATTGGAATTCTAAAGTGGAAGAAGATCAGGTCTCAGAATGGCATAAAGCAAATGTTTGTTTTGGTTTTTTAGATATTTTCTTTTTAGTTTTTTAGGGGAGTTTTTCTACTTTATATTCCCCGGCCCTTCCTTTCCTTTCCTTCATCTACACTTTATGGCCATGGCATGCTTACAAGTTGACACTGTAGCAATCTTCTATCTTTGGCTGATAGCAGCTTCTTGCTTTTGGCTTTCCACCCACAGGCCACACTAATATTAATATTGTCCCCAAGCGTGAAGAGGTGAAATATCAAATATATATGTTTTACTTGTATATCTATTCTGAGAACAACTGTTTCAGATAATACTTAAGCTACCCAAACGTCCATAGTTACTTGTGAGAACATCTTAGATGATTTAGATGCTAGGTACAGGCAGCAGATGATGATCCTCAGGACCCACTCACTGTAGTTCTAAATCAACCACTGCATGTACACCTTGTGGATATGAGCTGCTTAACCAACCATATTGTTACTAGATAAAAAAAGTGTTATGTCAGGCTACATGTCAGCATGATCAGGTGAAGTGGCAAGTTGGCTGGTGGTCCAAGAGACCAGGTTGGCCCTTGGCCTTTGTTTAGACAAAAGAAAGCAGGAAAAATGATAGGGGTATAGGGGGGGGGGGGGGTAACCAATGAAAAGATGCTTAGCTTCTCAAGGGTGGTGTTCCAACTTCCAACTTCTTTCTTCTTAATTGTCAGAGTCTTCTAAAGCAGCCTTAATGTGCTTCTGCTTATGATTGAGGTGAATCTGAAATTTCTCTTGGAATTCTGAGACCCTCTGCTTTTGCCTTTTAAGTCCCCTAAATAATATCATTTGGCTTATATGTACAGAAATGGCCCCAAAACAACAGAAGGATTACAGTCTGGGAGCGGCTTATTGCCTTATTGTCCCATAACTCTAAACAAGAGATACTACTATTGCTCTTGTTTCTGAATATTGAAACATGGTTTTTGGTGCTTATAGGATACTAATCCTTCTCATCTGTATTGGTTTCTTGGTTGTTCAACCAGAAAAGGTCTCTGGTCTTAGAAGTATAGACCATGTCCTCAGATGGGAGAAAGAAGAAAAGGCACTTAAACTGAAGAGCTCTCGTGTCCTTAAGGCAGTTGTGGTGGAGGAGCTGAACAGCAACAATAAATCATCATCTGCATCCCCGAAGATTGATCCCAATATGTCAAGCAAGAGAAGAGTTCGAAGAGGATCGGATCCCATTCACAATAGGTGTTGACACATTAGAGTAGTCACTTGTTCTACCATACCATCAAATTGGAAGGGAGCTGATTAACAAAGAAAGAGATGGCTTTGGGCTGCTCCTGATAAAGTGAAACCAAAGGGTGCTGCTTTCTTTCGAGGTTTTTCTACTGTGGGTTGGTTGATTTTCTCTATTTCGTTTGATATTTAGAAATTTTGTTACAGAGAGAGAGAGAGAGAGAGAGAGATGTATATAGATAGACTGATAGAGCTGCTTACGATGGCTCCTAAGAAGCTCTTCGGTGACCCAGCATCATCTCTACGTTGGAAACTGAGATCCTAACCAATGGCAGAGGAGAAGAAACTATAACAATCACGCTGCTGGCTCTAAAAGGAAAAATTACATTACAGTGCGTTTTATTCTCCTCTTTGAGAAAAAGATTTATACACGTCTGCATCAGAAACTCTAGTTCTTGCAGATTATAGTGAAATTCTTTGGCATTATTCCAGATTTTCAATTTCTTTATTGATGTGAAAACTCTAGAATTTGTCTTGATATTTTCCACATCTTATTTCTTTCCTTCTTTGTTCTCTCATCCCCACAGTTGAATGAAGTGTTTTTGTCCTTGCCATTTCTTTTGTGAATGTACGCGCAAACATCTGAGTTTTGGTAACAAAAGCTAAACTTATTGCAGTTCACTTCTCTCCTTCCACAATAAAATATATTTCTTTTCAAGGCCTTCAATTATTTTCTGACTGAATTTTGAATTTACTACTTGCAAGAAAAATGAGAAGCACATATATTGAAGTCAGTTGTGTATAAATATTTTGAAACAACAATCTTGTTCCTAATTACAATTGGAGTCAGAAAAGGGGAAAATGATAGAAAAAGAAAATGCTACTATAGATATTTAATTTACATGTATCTATCTCAAGAATTTCAACACCAGTATTTCCTTATTAGTTGCAGATGTGGTATATATAAAAAACAATTTCGTCTGGGTATTTTATAATCCTACAGCTACATACTCTTCCCAATGAGCTGAAATCGACGGAATCTTTTCTGCCGATGCAGCCTAAGTTGAATGGATGACATCTTGCGGGACACTGCCTCCCAAATCATTTCTACAGCATCCCCTGGCTGGGATGGATATCCATACTCAAAATGATGTTCAACTTCTTTTAGGTTTTCCCACATTTTGGTCCACTTGTCTCTTTTAATTCCTCCGAGTAGTTTTAGTAGGAACCCCTTCTTTAGAGCATCAGATTCTTGAACAAATATACTGAATTCTGAGTAGTCTAAGACATCCTCAAATGGAAGCTCAATGTCATCACTGATAATCACGGGGACACAATGGCTTGCAATAGCATCAAAGAGCCGGTTGGACGATGGTGTATCTCCAGCAATATTCAGACAGAATTTGGACGACACCATCCCTTGGCCTGCCTTACTGATTCCATTTGCATGAAGGCTTCCATAGGTGAAGTGCACATCTTTTTCATCTTTGAGAAGATGGTAGAGTTGTTGACGAATGACTCCTCCCTGATACACAAACCCATTTATAGAAATGCATAGCATACAGGGTCAGAAATGACGAGGCAAGGCAAGAACTGAAATAAAGGTGAGTCTTCAGCACAATATACTAATGAGAAGTAAGATCTCTGAAACTTATTTGCAGGAAGTGGGAGATGGAAAGGATAAGTAGCCGTTACTGAAAAAGTCAGGAATTGTACTTTGAAAAAATTGTTTAATATTGTATTAGCATTTCAAAATGCATAATTGACATAGACATGGAAAAACTGAAGGTTGAATCTAGCCAAGGATTCAGGGAGTGTGACTCAGGAAATCACCTAGATGATCAAATCATTGTGTTTTAATGGTCAATCCTTGTATATGCCCCCATACCTGAGTTTAGAGGAACTTATGCAGTGAAATTATGGATAGAATTGAAACTTAATGCAACCAAATTTTGAAGTTTAGAACATGAATCAGGACCCCAATTCGATGACTGTTCAGCAAATTGAGGCAACCCATTTTAGGTTAAGGCCTGAAGAGTTTTACTTTCCCTTGATGTTTCATGTAAACTTTTCTTTGGGATTGACAACTGGAATTTTATTAAACATCAAACAGAGAGGATCATGGGGGCTAACAAGGCCAAAATATTTTGGTGGGGAACCACAATGATTTGTGACAATCTATTTCAATTTCATTACAGAGAGCAGTGATAATCCATGAAACAAGTTGTAGGGCAATATGGTAACAAATCAGGATGCAAAGAGAGAAGAACAGAAACTACTTACATCCTTTCTATAAATTGCTCCCTGAAAATACATCAAGATTGGACGTTCCTCAAATGGCACATAGTTGCTACCAACACGCACAACATGCTTGTATGGAGCAATTATGTCCTTGTTTAAGTTTGCTATCTGAACTGGATATCTCCCAAAATCTGCTAGCACAAACATGGCAGAACCAAGCTTTCTCCTTGCATCCAACATGCTGTTTGGATGGTGCGCTACAATTAAATGATCTTTTCCTCCAGACCTCTTCCACTCATCCCGACTCATCAAAAACTCAAGCAGTTTATTCTGCAACATCTTGTCCATACTTATTTTCTCCTTTCCATGTAGTTTGGAATATCTATTGTAACTCAAAGATGAGAAGAACGGCACAAAAATTATATCTGCTTGACTGGCATTCTGTACTCTAATTGCATTACAGGGCCTCCCCACACCTGGGTTATTTGAGGAGAGAAGATCCAATGTGAGCCAATACTCCATGCTGTGTTGTAAATTCAACCCACCAGGGTATGATGGGATGTTATTGGGGTTACTCACATCTGGCCATATTTGACCCAATTTCCCTTTCCAACCCAACAAACCGAAGTGAAATTCAGTAGGCAAGTCATACATAAATATCCTGAGCTTAGCTTGATTTTGGTCACAGGTTTTCTTCGTCTCTAGTCCAGAAAGCCCCGTTTCCTTCTTTGAACTGGAACCCAGATCAATATTAACTTTGGGGCTTGACTTGGGTTTTCTACTATTTGTTGAAAACGCCCAAGGCAAGTGAGGAGGAAGTTCATTGTCTCTATAAGTATAAACACTGTTGGATCTTAAGTAAACTGATGTTTTATTAACAAGGACAACCCCGATAACCGATCCAGGTAGCAATGGACCTATACTTGATTGAAGCAGGAAGACATAAGAAGAAAGCAATGCAATCGATGAGACAATTATTATGCACAAAAGGAATCTAGAAGGCTGCATGGTCTTTCCAGGCACGAGGAATTCAAGACAAGCACAAAAATCCTCGTAATTGTAGCGCAGCTACACCGAGAATTACAACACAAAAGAGAAGTTTTGTACGTTTCAGCTTCTACAGGGTAATGACTGCAGCTTGTGCTTTTCAAAGAAGGTAAATAAATAAACTTTCTTTAACATAATCAGTAGAGGAATTGTATTGGCCGATCTCATAAACATAATCCCATCTCACTTCTCAGAAAGGGAAAATTTCTTATTCTAATAAAAACTATTTACCCCTCAGCCTTAGGAGATTGCTCTGTACACGAATTCGATTCTCTCAAAAGCAGGAAAATTCTCTGGCCATTATAATCTGAACGGCATCAATCAATCTACAGATAAAAAGAGAGAAAAAAAGATCAATCGAATATATAGTTTTTAACCTACTTAAAGTTAAGAGTATGCCTGTTTCTGTGCTTATAATTTTGAGCTACCAAGCACCACCCAGAAACAGAGACTGAAAACTTCACCATAAAAAAAAAAAAACCAAAGAAAAAGAGAAGCAAAGAATAGAACTAGAAACAGCTCATCCGGGTTTCCATATTCTGTAATTTATGAAAATTAGTGGATGAGAATTTTGAAAAAGAAATACCTAATGAGCTTGGGTTGGGGGATCCATCCGCGTGCTGAATTTTCAGAATGTAAACAGTTGAGAGGGGGAGGGGGTGTTGTTTGTTTATACTTTATAGTACGCGCTACGCCTCTACCAAGGTGAGGTCGTTGTCATCACTCATCAGCGTGTTTGTTCTGTTCATTTCTTTTTTATTTAATTAAAAGGAGTTCATGAGACGGAGATCTACTTCCACAGGTAGTAGTTTCAGGGGGCGTTTCGTGTGGACTTCTGAAGACGACGGAAAGCAAATTATTTGATATCATTTAGCCTTAAGTCAGGTGGTAGCTATAAATACATTATAAATTATGTTATTTTCTGATACAGTTGCATGAGAACCATTGGATTGAGATATAAGGGAATGGCTTTCAGCCTTTCATATGAAACTTCACTATATGACCTGTATCTGTAGATGTATCTCTATACAAGGGGCAAGGGGTAAGAGTGTGCACAGTGCAGTAAATGAGACACCAGAAAATAGAAGACCAATCAAAAGAAGTAAATTTCTTCTCGTGAGAGGCCAAAATTGGCTCACCGAATCACCGTGTTGATCAGAAGGGAAAACGTAAGCGGTAAGCGCGTCTAAGCGATAGTCTGATCAATTGTAAATTTGTAATAGTAGAACGTCTCTTATGATCGGTTGTGATTCTCTACCAAATAGGCAAATACGCAACAATGATCAATATTCAATATTGGTGTTGGTCAATGGATTTTGATGGGTTGGCCTGCAACCTGTAACTACTAGACTAGGCATTTTGGGTGGTGCTCATCTCTGAAACCAAAAGCTTCACTTTACAAGGCATCTAGTCATGGTGCCTATTGAGATGGTCCAAAGATTCTGTAGGTGTCAATCTTGTCTTGTTCAGTAGCAGTATTACGACAAAAAAAAAAACAAAAAAAACAAAGAATTATTGGATCACAAGCTGAGGGGAGTCGTAGAACGTGTTAAATTTATATAATGGACAAAGTGTTTAACATACTAGTATTAGTTGTCTTGTTGCCTTGTTGGAATTTAATTTTATAGTCCACTGCAATTGGAGGCCATCTCTCAAAGCTCTCATCTTGTGTTACTGTTGGCAATTCATGATATACAATATTTGCTTATTCTTGTAGAAATAAGCAAATATATAAAACATGGCTTCAATTGATAGGCTCAGTTTGGAACGAATATAAATACAAATATACACATACACACAGTACAAATATCAGGTTGAAAGGAGTATAAATACAAATGTGTAGAATGTAAACCCTTTATATCTTGTATTTATATTACTACTATTTCAAAACTAAGCCTTGTTTGGCTACGGTAGGTGAGTGGCTTAACATCAATAGCAATGTTGATTGTTGAGTACCACCTTCAGTTTATAAAAATCAAATTTTGGATTGAAGAGGTAGGGCCAATGACTGTTGACTGGCTTTGGTAATCCAGACGATTGAGAGGGACTTTCCCCCAATCCGCGGTCTTAATTTGAATTGAAGATTCCTTAGAGATGAAGATGATGCAAGCCCATCCACACGCAGCCTCATCAGTCCCTCCTCTCTCTGTCCTCATCAATCACCGCTCCATCTATATATTCTACTAACCGCTAGAGGAGTAGGAATAGCCGAATAGGACGTATCAACAAGAGAAATAAATAAAATATAAAAATTACTAAGAAGAAATCAAAGATTAAAAAACAACAAAAACGAAGGAAACAAGTTACGTAATACGTAGATGAGATGGAATGGCCATACGGCCCAAACCTCTAGGGTCAGCCCATTGATTATCTCAAATTCTCGATATTCAACCATTTATTCGATCATTTTTCTTCTCTATCATGGAAACCCTAATCCTTATGATACATCTAATTGTCTAAGTATACCCTACTGTTTGATTATTATCTAATGCTATCCCTATTATTTTTGACAACTGATTAGCTATACCCTAACATTCCGTCACATGTTGTATATAATCTTTTTAAAATCTAAATTTACCCTTCATCTCTCTCCCTCTCCCTTCTCCTCCTTCTTCACTGTTTCTTCAAGAGAGCCACCGGCACCTCCTGCCAATCTGCCGATGAAAACCCAAGAAAACGATGATTAACCCTCTGAAGAAAAATCAGTTTTCTTTGCCAATCTACCGATGAAAACCCAAAAGCTCCACTCTTCCAATCTGCAATGAAAACCTTCAACACACAACTCCCAACAACCCAGCACTGTTTTAGTGGTAATTCACAGTTTTGGATTTTATAGTCAAATTTCTCCGATCAGATTCCGACCAAAAGCCAGCAACCCATTTGAACCCACATTAGATTCCCACTATCAGCCTTTGCTGTTGCAATCAACAACGAATACGCCATGCCAAAAACCCTCTTCAGTCACAGGGGCGCAACATAGCCTACATCACAGCCAAAAATCCTTTCAAACCACGTCGTTAGCTCAACATCATCCTTCCTGTCAAGATCTACAACTTCGTCGTCCAGTTGCTTACTGGCTAAAGCCTTCCTCCGATGAAACCACTGCTGTAAACTGGTGCTTACTGGCTTTCCCAAAGAACCAATTCTTGAAGGAAAAATCAATTAGAGATTCAAACACAATGTAATTCAAGACAGAACCTCCTCTATCCTATAAGGAGCTTTTTGCACATATGAGCGAGAGATATCTAAAAAAATTGGCCTAAGGGCTAAACGCATATTTTAGCCATTCTATTAATATTTAAACAGTAATGACAATTTTCGTAAACAATAGGATAGCATTAGAAAATAGTCAAACAGTAGGGATATATACTTAATCAATTAACTAAACAATAAAAATAATTTAAAAAATTTGTCCCAAAAAAATAAGGAAACGATCCTATGACTCCGCTGCAAACTTCCACGACGTTAAAGAAAGTATGAGCTGCTTTTCAGGCAGCCCATTGATTTGGATCCTTACATGCATGAGAAGATGAGATCCTCATGACCCAAAATGATGGGTACTCATGAAATACCATGTTCCACTTCTTACATTCCTAAGCCCTGATATACATTGTCTTGGTCCTAGGAATGACTACCAAAATCGTTTTTATTCTTTTTCATTTTTTTTTTAGTTTGAATGGATGAAAATATATAATAACCTATAAAGCCTAGCATATTAAAGTATCAATTAAACTGGAACCGGATTTGGTGGCTTTAGTTTTTTGATTTCTAATTACACTGAGGTTTATATGACCCTTTGGCTCAGTTTGAGGAGAGTATAAATACAAACTAGAATATCTGGAAAAAAAAAAAAAAAAACCTATAGCGAAGGGGTGTTAATCGAGAGGGAGTTCCATCTTAAAACTAGTACTCCCGAGATTGTGCTTGTGAAGCAGGAGAGAGGGATATGTGTTTTCATGCTGCTTTATATCACGTTGCTCTTTTTTATTCTCTGGTCCTCCCCTGGAATAATTGCTCATTTCCAAATTCCAATATCCACAAGTTCACGTGTCTATGAAACCTATATTATTATAAAAAGTATAAATGAGGGTGTGGAACTTTTCTTGATTAAAATGTTCTTATTTGTTATTTAGTCTATCTCTAATTAAGAAGGTTGAAAATGTTATTTCAATTAATGCTTTTCACCTCATTTAATCCCCTCTCACTAATTCTTGTATTTAAAGTATTAATTCTCATTTTTTCTTATTAAATCTCATATTTAATTTAATTTTTCACTAATAAATGTTACTAATTAAATCTATGCCCAATACTTTTAAAGACATAAACCCGTATATTTTAAAAGTTACTCAAAACAAAATCATTATTTATCCAAGTGATGATTAAGCAATTCAACAATCCAAATCAAATTGGCCAACCGATGAAGTCATAGTTAGATAATAAAATTTTTAAATAGAAATACATATAGAAAATAAAAAAAATATATATAGAAAAATAGACACATTTATGATATTTTTTTATTAATCAAATTAAAAAAAAAAACAAGTGTAATAAAGAAGAATTATTTTATTGACGATGAAAATGAAATACATTATCTAAAACTAGCCAAAACGAAATTATTTTCCTATTTGCCAGAGATCAATAGTTCAACTTTTAGGTCAAATCTATAAGCCTTGAATGCCATAATTAAATAATAAAAATTAATAAAACATAATAAGCAAAAAATACATAAATTTTACAAAAATACATTTGGGCACATGTATAATATCATATATTTAACATATTAAACAAAACATAAGTGTAAATAACAATATTATTTTTATACACATGAAAATAAAAAAAAATTATAGAAAAATTAAACACATCTATAACTCCATATTTACACCACTATTAAAAAAATGAATAAATTGTGGAACTTTCTTTTGACTAAAATACCCATCTTTTGAATTTAGTCCATATCTAATTGTGAGGTTTAAAATTTAGTTTGAACTACAATTTTCACCTCATTCAATTCCCTATCTTTAAATTTTACATATTTTTTTGATAAATACACAAAAAAGTGTACACTAATAAGATAAAACATTATAAAAGGAAGAGTCCATCCAAATAGGAAGGTCTGTCAATGATACCAAAAACTTTGTAGCCCAATATGAGGTGCTTACGTAATCAGATCTAGATTTTGCAATCTTCATCTGATTAATAGTGAAAAACAAATATATAAAAAATAAAAAAATGCATGGATTCTATAGAAAATTTTGGATATACCATTCCTATCATTATCATCATCTAGAATTGTCACGTGCAAAGCACATACACACTTAATAATCTATAAGACACACCAATATATGATATGGACGACTAACTATGGAGCAAAATATAGAAACATGATAACTTGCATCAAGTGGAAGCCCACATGATTCAAATGGCCCTGGTTTACTTGGATTCATTCATATAAACTTGAGCTCAGGTCTGTCTAACCCTTTTATTTTCGGTATATTCAAATAATATTAAGCAAGAAAAGGAGCCCGAAGATGAGGCTTATTCGTTCGGCTCAGAGGGCCTCTCAAATGTAGGGGTGTCAGTTGGACCAGATTTGGTCCAATATGAGTTCATTATGGATCAGGCCCAATCCAATGCAATCAATA